TATTTCTGAAACAAATATTCAGACAAGTTTCAGTTTCAAATTTGTGTTGTACTAGGTGGTCCGAAAGTATTGTCACCCGTTACCAAAAAGCAATGATAACAATAGGAGGACAAGTAATACAAAGCACATGTATTGGATTCAGTTCATTTACTGTCACACATTGAGACGGTCTGTATGAACATTGTCATTTTTGTAGCACTAAATTAAATAGAAAATTTTTTTTGGATCACCCTGTATTACAACTTTCTCCTACTATGAACGAGTTTATATACCAACCTAAACTTCATCCACAATTATGTAATAAAATGAATTGATTCTAAAATGTGTCTAAAAATTTACTTATCTGCTTAAATACCTACTTTACTGTATTCAGAAATAAGTAGAATGCTAATTGTGAAATTTTTCTTTATAATTCACTGTTTATATTGTGATACCGTCTTAGTATCTTTTAATGCCAATTTTGTTTACTACTTTAACTATTCCAAATACTTAAAAAAAAAAAAAAATTAAAAAAAATCTGTAGGTGGTGTAAACACATTCAATTTTACAAAAATGTTAGATTCCTACAATGAACAATGGGCAGTCTAGGGATTTTTATAAAGAATACAAAAATGATCTTTTGTTCAAGATACTTTTTTTTTTTTTTTTTTGTTGTTGTTGTTTTGTTTATTTTTTTTTTTTGTTTACTAAGTCAGTGGAATTAATTTTCTCTGGCTGCTAACCACCACTACAGTAATTCTAATGTAGATAAAAGCTAAGACATTTTATCTTTTTCAATTACGCCCTCTGAATCTCAAATGTTCATCTTGCATTCTAGGTTTTTATTTATTTGCAGAGACCAGGTTTCAAAGCACTTGAGTGGCTCACTAATTCAGCAGTGAAAGATAAATCTCAAACAGTTATTACACCCACAGAATTACTGTCATGAATTTTTGACTTCATGCAATTAGTTATTTACTATGCATAATACATGCATATGCGATCATGTATCTTTCGATACATGACTGACGAGGCAGATTTTTTTTCCTGCAGTAGGTTGCCATTTATTTCTGTGGTAGACCAGTTGCTATCCAAGGCTATAGAATCTGGTCTGATCTGCTATTTAACCATATCTGGGGAGAGAAGAGGATTCATACCTTTCCCAAGAGTATTAGCATGTAAGTGAATGTAATAGATTCGACTGGAATTTGAACTTGGCTCTCCGATTCCTCAATCCAAGCCACTATCCAAATAAATTCCATCATAAAATAACAGTTGATATTGTATGACCTGGAAAAACGACTAGAAATTTGATTTTGAAAAAAAAATTGGAAAAAAAAAAAACAATTATTTGAAGAAAATTTTTATTTTCTTTATGTAAATGTTGACCAAAATTTTGGAATAAGTTTGTCGATACTTGAAAAAAAGTTTGTTTTTGTTTATTTGAAAATAAACTAGAAACAAATGTCGTCATCATCCAACCTGTTTTGATTTGAGGTCATGAATTGACATGTTCTCTCATCTTCAGTGACATTGTATACTGATTTGACAATATTTTGCCAGCCTTCTCTGTCTTCTGTGAGTTTGCAGATTTGTTGCAGATCTTCCTTGATTGTGTACCTCTCCAAAGGAAAAGTTGGATCTTTCTGCCTTGTTTTTTGAATGTCTCTGTTCAGTGTTGTGACTATAGTAGTTCTTGGATGAACTCTGAACTTCTTGAAATCAGTCTTTTCAAAGTAATACTCCATAGCTTTGTTAGCTGGGCATTCTGGATCCATTGGCAAAATATCTCTAAGAAGTTTCCATCTAGCTTTCAAAATAAACAAAGACAAATAAGATTCTTGACTTCTGCTATACAAATTCTTGTTGGAGATATTATGGGGATACCTTTTTTCCCTATTAGCATTTTTAGTTGTCATCTATGGAAACTGTCTAGCGCCTGCTCTTCTTTTTTTTTTGTTCCACAGTTGTAGGTTAAAAGTGGTTTCACCAAGGTGTTCTACAGCTTTAATCTTCTCTTCTCAGATACTCTGTCTCCTCTTATCCATAGTTTATCAAGCTTTTCCATACTGACAATTGATAACTGTTTCCTTTTGATGTCTTGAATTTTCAATCAGTGTACCAACTTTCTTTGTCTCCATCTCTCTGTATTTCGGTCTCCTCTTTCAATGATGATGTGTTCTATTTTATCTTCAAATTCTCTGTTGGAAAGATCCTTTCAGCAGCTGTAAGCATTTTCCGTTTTTCATCCTTGCATAGGGATATGATGTCTGTATCATCTGCATATATTTCTTTATCTGGAATGTTTTCATCCTTCTTTTTAACAGAATACGAGTGCTCTACTAGATGTCGGTCACCTCTTGCTTCAAATCTGGTTCTTCTCAGACTGGTTTCAAGGTATATGTTGAAAAACATGCCATTTATTCTGTCACCTTGAGGTGAGCCTATGTTGCTTTCAAATTTCACTGTTTGCACTACTTGCATCTTTTACATCTAGTTTTATATTACAAAGAAGTCTGCACATACTTAATCATCACCAACAATCTTTTTAAGAATTTTTTACAAGTTCCTCACGAATTATGGTATTAAAGTCCAATGACATATCAATGCCAGTGAGATATATATATATATATATATATATATATATATATATATATATATATATGTGTGTTTTCTGTGCCTTAGCTGCAAGCCATCTGTGTGTCCAAACTACATCCCCAGTACTCCTGAGTTCTCGCTAGGCACTTTCGGAATGGGAGAGATATTGATCATATGCAGATTTTATTCTTTTTGATGTAATATTTGAAAGGATCTTTCTGATAAGTAATGATTTTCCAAGTGTAGCTTAGATGTGGCACAAGGCCATTTCTGATAAGTAACAGAATGACAGGTTGGAGGTTTTTGACCGGACCTTTTTGCTTTTTCCTGGTTTCTGTGTACTTCTAAATAAATTTTTATGGCATCTTCAAAAAGTCTATTTTCTGCTTTTCACAGATCATGTTTTGTTAATCTTCTCTCACTGCCCTTTCTATATTTCTGTCTTTTATTTTAGGCTCATTTAAATAAATTTCTTGACATGTTAAAGTGTAATTTAGTGAGGGTAAAGATTTTTTTTTTTTTTTTTTTTTTTTTTTGTAAATGCTTCTTTGTGTAAGAACTCATAAAAGTAGTAAAAACTTAAATAAAATTGTTTGAAAAGTGAATTTGAATATTAATCATTTACTATGAAGCCTTTTTTGTCTCTCCCCATATCTAGAAAATAATAGCTGTGTGTGTGTTTTTTATTTTTTAAGTTTTTTTTTTTTTTTACCCTCAAGTATTATTTTTATCAGATACTCTTGATCTTGAGTTTTGTTTGAATAGATGCCTGTTGTTTAATGTTTCTTTTCTTTTTTCTTTTTTTTTTTAATCTACAGGCATGTCCACTCAAGAAAACTTTAAAAAATGGGGTGTGTACTCGGATATCTAATAAAAATAACATTTGATGTAATAAAAATGTCAGATAATTCTTTAGAAATTGCTTTGTTGGTTTCAGATACAAAATCAAGCAGATCTGATCTTTCAATAAAATCTGAATGAGGTGATGTCCATTCCTTGAAAGGGTAAATAGAATTTTGATGGGCTGTGACACTCTTCATACCCAAGTGGGAGTTTGAAGTAATAAAAATAATATTAGGATAAAGATAAATTCATTATTAATTCTTTTAGATAGAAAGATTCATTTTTTTTTTTTTTTTTTTTTTGCATAAAAATTTTTGTCTTGATCTGTAAATTTCTCAACCAAGTTTAAATGATGCAACTATCGCATTTACTTGCAGTAACAATTGGTAGACTTTTTTTTTTTTTTTTTACTAACCTTGAATATTACTGAGTCTTGATGGTTTAACAGTATCAGGATGACTGAGAAATATATATATATATATATATATATATTTTTTTTTTTTTTCAGGACATAAATGATTATAACTTTTCACAAATTCTTTTTCTTCATTATTTGTAAATCGACGTGTAATTCTTTGGTAAAACAGTGGAGTGATTTCTTGTTACCTTCTCTAAAGTTTGGAATCGTTTTTCTTTAGGGCATAGGCAATCATAATTCCCCATAGATTTCATTTCTTTATCTGTGAATTGTCAATTGACTTCCTGTACATTGTTTTGGATTTTTTTTTTCTTTTCTTTGCTACTCAAGAGAACCCAGTCTACCCTACTATTTAACCTAAGAGCATGTGTAAAATTGAATATAACAGACTAACCTGGAATTTGAACCCTGTTTTCTGATTCCACTTTCTGTGACAATATCCATTACACTACCCTTGTACATTCTTTTTATATATTTGTGACTTACCATGATTTTTTGAGAAAGATAGCAGAGTAGTTTGTTATGGGAGAGTTTGTTTGACTTGGGGAGGGGAACAGTTACTACTCTGACAAATGCAGGTTCCAAATTTGCATTTGAAATTTTCAACGTCTTGTTGATTTCTGAGATGCACGCATCCTAATTATGCTCAAGATAAAAATCATACTAATAGTACGTTTATTAAAATATATTTATATTTTGAGGCAAATAGTATATTATTAAGTAGTATACTTACCTTCATAGAAAATGACAGTGGGGTGGGGAATACCCAATGGTAAAATACTCTCTCTGTTTCTGGCAAATTTTTGTGACCTCTCCTCTTGTACTTTTAAGAGCTGATCTTCTATTATTGGACCCAGCAATCATCACTCCTGCTTGGGTGGGACTAGCTTCTTTTCCTTATATCCTGGTGGAAACTCTCACTATGTTCATTGCTTCAGTCAGTGGGAGGTTTGGGGATGCATTTTAAAACAAGCAGCATTACATTCTGCTTAATATATCATTTATTAAATCAACCTAATTTTCAATTCTGATCCTCCAAGGAATTTCAGTATAACTAACACTAATGAATCTTAAATCACCAGCACAAATCAATACTAAATTATTAATAATATTTACCTTGATTATAAATGTGGCGTGTGTTTAAAAGAAAAAAAAGTAGGCATATGGCCACATCATGTTGGAACACCAGTTCCTGTACAATCGCCAAAGTTAAGCAATGTTGAACCTGATCAGTACCTAGATGGGTGACCACTTGGAAATACCAGGTGCTGTAAAATTGGATGTGAGAACTGAATTCCAATTCTTGTTAGGTTCCTTATATTATCTTATGTGCAAATATCCTTAGCAAAGGTATGAATCGACCTTCTCCCCCCGCCCCCCCCGGAATGAGTTAATTAGTAAGACTTGTATCAGTAAACCATTCTCTCTCTAAAAAAAAAAAAAAATTCTTACAATCTAAAAATATTTTTTGACTTTAAATGACCTGGAAAGGGTTGATAAATCATAAAAAAAAAAAAAACCCTCAATCAATCCTATTAGGGGGGGGGAAATTTCTAGGATAATACTGAGTACTGATTTGGAATCTCTGTACACATTCAGCTGAACAGAAAAATCTGTCTGATCAACCATAACTGGTTGATGACATATCTTGTAAGAAATTTGTCCTAAAGAGGGTTATATTTCATTGATGAGACCTCACGTTGACACGGATAGTATATTGAAACCTCAAGAGGTCTCTTATTATAACAACACTTGAAGGTTTGATAACCTGCAGAAAACAAATCAATAACAACACTTAGAGAAGAGAGCAATTTGAGAAAAGACTGTTTTGGAATGTTTAACAATATTTTGACAGTATATCTGTCTTCAAGTTATGTTTAAAAACTGTATATGTAAATGTTCCTTGTCTTGAGAAAAATGGTTGTATTGGTAATTGTGACAAAACAAACGAAATGCAGCCACTGTGAATAGTATAAAACTGAAGTGTAACATGAGAGTGCTTGTGCTGAACTTGAAATTTTCCGTTAGTTGATTAGTTAGTGAGATCAATTAAACAAACAGATTAGCATAAATCTCATGGAACTTGTAATGAGTTGGTTGGTCAACTTGACACCCCCAAAGCAAGTAGAGGTGTGCAGGCGCGGGAACTGTGATTGGTAGCTGGCTTGTTGGTGTTTCGCATAGGTGAGTTACCAAGCTCTATGTAAAGGGCTGGAATGAGAAGGAGGGTAGTTTCAGTCTCAGAAGTGGAGACTGTGCCCATCGCTATGACAGCAGGAGAGAAAGAGACGAAATCATTTATTTTTTCGTGACACATTCCAACACAGGACTCACCTGATGTTTTGGTCTTTCCTCCTGAGGTGGGGCATTAGTAGTTTTCGTATATAATTATCTTTGTGTTTTAAGGGTTGAAAGGTCAATGGATTCTTGATATTTTCAGGATTCTTTAAACCTGGCTAAGAAGACTGATATACTGTTGAAATATTTTTAAACATGATCTTTTCTTTTCTTAAATTGAACTCTTCTTTTAAATTGAACTCTTCTTTTAAATTGAACTCTTCTTTTAAATTGAACTCTTCTTTTAAATTGAACTCTTCTTTTAAATTGAACTCTTCTTTTAAATTGAACTCTTCTTTTAAATTGAACTCTTCTTTTAAATTGAACTCTTCTTTTTTAAATTGAACTCTTCTTTTAAATTGAACTCTTCTTTTAAATTGAACTCTTCTTTTAAATTGAACTCTTCTTTTAAATTGAACTCTTCTTTTAAATTGAACTCTTCTTTTAAATTGAACTCTTCTTTTAAATTGAACTCTTCTTTTAAATTGAACTCTTCTTTTAAATTGAACTCTTCTTTAAATTGAACTCTTCTTTTAAATTGAACTCTTCTTTTTAAATTGAACTCTTCTTTTAAATTGAACTCTTTAAATCTTTTAAATTGAACTCTTCTTTTAAATTGAACTCTTCTTTTAAATTGAACTCTTCTTTTAAATTGAACTCTTCTTTTAAAAACTCTTCTTTTAAATTGAACTTCTTTTAAATTGAACTCTTTTTTAAATTGAACTCTTCTTTTAAATTGAACTCTTCTTTTAAATTGAACTCTTCTTTTAAATTGAACTCTTCTTTAAATTGAACTCTTCTTTTTAAATTGAACTCTTCTTTTAAATTGAACTCTTCTTTTAAATTGAACTCTTCTTTTAAATTGAACTCTTCTTTTAAATTGAACTCTTCTTTTAAATTGAACTCTTCTTTTAAATTGAACTCTTCTTTTAAATTGAACTCTTCTTTTAAATTGAACTCTTCTTTTAAATTGAACTCTTCTTTTTAAATTGAACTCTTCTTTTAAATTGAACTCTTCTTTTAAATTGAACTCTTCTTTTAAATTGAACTCTTCTTTTAAATTGAACTCTTCTTTTAAATTGAACTCTTCTTTTAAGTGTTGCAAAATATTGTAAGTGTTACATCAGTCATTTTGTTTCTTGTAATTAATATTCTCTTTTGAGCTATAGTCTGAAGATTTGTTATGGTTACCCATATAAACTTTGATATGGTTAGATATTGGCTCTTTTAGATAAGTGTACTATCTTTCATTTTATTTGCAACAGCTGTTAGGCGAAATGTAAATGTTCCCACTGATTTCAAGAGCTTGAAGAATTAAAACAAATAAATTTCAGTATTGATTTTTAAAGAATTTTTTTTTTTTTTTTTTTTTGCTTAAAACAGCATGGGAAAATTGAACTTTGGAGCCTATTAATTAAGTTCTGTCACTTAGCTTTTAATTAGTTCTTGCAATTAGAAATAATCCATTGAATGGCCTCATTAATGCATGAGGTAATTAAAACCTTTTCAAGGAGAAAAGGAATGGTCCAAGGTGGTAGCAAGGAGTCGGAAGAAAGAATGAATTGGTCCATCCTAGGGGGCAGTAAGGAGTCTGGACAAAACGAGGGAGTGAGAGAAAGAATGAGTTCATCCATCCAAGGTGGTAGCAAGTTGATACAAAATGAAGTGCATTTCTGTTTAGGAACTTTTTCAATGTCCAACTGATGTCGTAATGTAAAAGAGTTTTCCTGAAACTTTTGACACTATTCCAACTTGTATATAAGCTTCTTTTTAGGATTACTAAATATGCTTATTTAACATCAGATAGACCATTGAAATTTCTAGAGCACATAATGAGGAAAGAGGGTTTGAAAAATTTGGTACTCAAAGGACAGATTGAAGGCAAGAGGGAAAACATAACCTACCTAGTGAGCCTGGTAAATGGATGACAAACAGGGTTTAGGAGAGATAACAAAAACAAACTTTAATAAGAGTTACAATGGACAAGAAATTGTGGAGAGCTGTGATTATTGCCCATAGAAAATTAGGTTGTAAGAATCAAATTAAGCTCTATTTGAAATCTTATTGAAAAATTTAGAATTGATTTCTCATGAGTAGAGTTAATTCAGCTTATTTTAGAAGGAACCTAAAAACAAAAATTAAAAAAAAAAAAAATTGAGATCACTGTGTTTTTAAAATTAGCTCAATCCAGCAACTCATTGTGTGAATGTGTCTGGATTTGGTTTATATCTCTCTATCTCTCTCTCTCTCTCTCTGGTTTAGACTATACCACACCACACTCCACTCCCTCTCTCTCTATCTACATGTGTATGGTTTATGTGCCTCTCTTGCTATACAAGTGTATGGTTTATGTGCCTCTCTCTCTCTATACAAGTGTATGGTTTATGCCACCCACCCACCCTCTCTCTCTCTCTCTCACACACACACACACATATATATATATATATATATATATTATGTCATTTGCAGACAATACTGGTACATTGTATCACAGCTCTCTCTCTCTCTCTCTCTATATATATATATATATATATATATATATATATATGTGTGTGTGTGTGTCTCTTTATATACATGTATATGGTTTATGTCACCCTCTTTCTATTTTTTTTATATACACACACACACACATATGTATGGTTCATACCACTTTCTCTCTCTCAGCATCCAGAATCTTTCTAATTTTATTTACCATTTTTTTTCTTTTTAACTTACAGCTCGATAGAAAATCCTCCTTCTATGATGTCCTCTTTTTATGGCTGCCCCCCCCTCCCGAAAACTAATATCTCTTGCTCTCTTGTAATAAATCTTTAACTTACCATGTCTGTTTAGCTCTGCCTTTCTTTGCATCTGTGTTTGCCTTTCTCTACTTGCATCCATCTCCCCAACACGCACACGCGCGCGCGCACACACACACACACACACGCTCTCTTTGCTAGTGACTGATGGTTGATCTTTTAAATGGTCTTTGTATAGAATCAATATTGTTTTTACTTAACCCCCCCCCCAAACAATCCCCTTTGCCATCTCTTTTGTCTTTTTTCAGACTTGGCTGCCAAACTATCTCTTTTAATGTGCCTGTTGGTACAAGTATTATTTATTTATCTTTATTTTTTTTCTGCTGATGCAGAGAAAGAAAGAATACACTGGTCTGTCCCCCCAAAGGCAGAAAATGGACTCGATTAAGCCTTTCTTTTGCAAATGGCCAAATAACTATTGACTTGTTTATACTGATTTATGTGGATATTTCTAAAGTTTACTTTCCTACAACACATGGCCAGCCAGTTTTGGAGGGGGAAGTGAGAGGGGGTTGATGTAGGTTTTGAACTATGGCTGGGAAAATTGTTGCTCCAATATTTCATATGGAGTGGAATGTCTACTTGCCTTGAAAATCCTCATCCTCATTTCTTTTGAATTTTAACTTTTTTTATTTAGTGCCCATTGTTTCACTAGTGGAACATATTTTAAGATTTTCTACCTGAATTTCTGGGATGAGGAGTTCTCATTATCTACATCCAGACTATTGTTCTCATCTTTGTTTTACAATGTTTTGTTTGAATGAAAGCTGGAAGGCACAATAGCTCGAAACATAACAAAGATGGGGACAATAGTCTGCATGTAAATATTTTAAAATCTGTTTTTTTTTTTTGTTTTTTTTTTTTTTTTCTAAGTAACAGATAAGCATTAATTTTAATTTTATTAATATATACAGAAAAAGATTAAAACACAATGTGTTAATTTCTAACTTTTCAATCAGTACTGATTTTCAACATGTCTTGGCCCAGAAGGGTTAATGTTAACCTCTATCTGTGGTAAGAAATTATGTAACTCTCAGTAAGAATTGATTTTTATTTTTAATCATTCTCTCTCGGCACAGAGACAATCATGGCTCTCTTATTACTGATTTTTTTTCCAAAAAGTCATGGAAATTCAGAT